CACTTTTTATTATAGAATCTCGCTCAGGTCACCAGAAATAAAAAATACAATGTGAATATCATTCAGGATAACCTGAATTACCCCGTCACAGATAATTCAATAATTTCACCTCAGAAGTTGAGAACCTCTGGCTATATTCAACGGTCTCCGTGGTGTAGTGGTAAGACACTCGCCTGGCGTTCCGCGAGCGCTATGTCATGGGTTCGTATCCTGGCCGGGGAGGATTGACTGGGCCGCAAATCCTTAACTGTAGCCTCTGTTTAACGCAACAGTAAAATGTGTACTTGGATGAAAAAACGATTCTTCGCGGCAGGGGATCGTATTCCAGGGACCATAGGATTAAGGACTTGCCCGAAACGCTACGCGTACTAGTGGCTCTACAACCATGTAACAACTCTTGTATATATCTCAAAAAATATATACCACAACTCTATTTATGTTCCAAGATGTGTATGTATGTGGCTGTGATACACAAAGAAATCTCCAGATTGTGAGGCATGGAAGTCCAGAGATACGTGTATTCGATCCCATTTCATGACCTTGAAATTCCATCAAGCGATTATATGAGACATTTATAAAAGAATTGACCACAAATAAATGATCGGGTCCAAATAGCAAGATTCTTTGCTGCAGTGGGCTAACCTCACCTTACTAGAAGACTGTCTTGACAGTAATCCCCATTGATGTCGGGGCCCAGGAGCTAAAATCCACAATGCTTCTTGCTAATATGAAGCATTGCAGGATCGAGTACACAGTAGTTTATGAACCAGCAAGTGAACTGTATGCAAGTACTTTGTATCTTCTTGGGGTTATCTTGAGATGATTTCGGGGCTTTAGTGTCCCCGCGGCCCGGTCCTCGACCAGGCCTCCACCCCCAGGAAGCAGCCCGTGACAGCTGACTAACACCCAGGTACCTATTTACTGCTAGGTAACAGGGGCATAGGGTGGCAGAAACTCTGCCCATTGTTTCTCGCTGGCGCCTGGGATCAAACCCAGGACCACAGGATCACAAGTCCAGCGTGCTGTCCGCTCGGCCGACCGGCTCCCCTGTATACAGGAACTCTCTGACCAGTTCTGACGTCGACGTGTGTATGAGAATACGTATATACGTGTATGAGAGAGAGACTGAAGGCTAAATTAATACACAAAGAGAGAAAAAATACTCAGAAGCCACGGAAAAAGAATGCCAATTTTTAGTCTCTCTCTCAAGGAGGCTAAAACCATCTTTAGTCTCTCTCTCAAGGAGGCTAAAACCATCTTTAGTCTCTCTCTCAAGGAGGCTAAAACCATCTTTAGTCTCTCTCTCAAGGAGGCTAAAACCATCTTTAGTCTCTCTCTCAAGGAGGCTAAAACCATCTTTAGTCTCTCTCTCAAGGAGGCTAAAACCATCTTTAGTCTCTCTCTCAAGGAGGCTAAAACCATCTTTAGTCTCTCTCTCAAGGAGGCTAAAACCATCTTTAGTCTCTCTCTCAAGGAGGCTAAAACCATCTTTAGTCTCTCTCTCAAGGAGGCTAAAACCATCTTTAGTCTCTCTCTCAAGGAGGCTAAAACCATCTTTAGTCTCTCTCTCAAGGAGGCTAAAACCATCTTTAGTCTCTCTCTCAAGGAGGCTAAAACCATCTTTAGCCTCTCTCTCAAGGAGGCTAAAACCATCTTTAGTCTCTCTCTCAAGGAGGCTAAAACCATCTTTAGCCTCTCTCTCAAGGAGGCTAAAACCATCTTTAGTCTCTCTCTCAAGGAGGCTAAAACCATCTTTAGTCTCTCTCTCAAGGAGGCTAAAACCATCTTTAGTCTCTCTCTCAAGGAGGCTAAAACCATCTTTAGTCTCTCTCTCAAGGAGGCTAAAACCATCTTTAGTCTCTCTCTCAAGGAGGCTAAAACCATCTTTAGTCTCTCTCTCAAGGAGGCTAAAACCATCTTTAGTCTCTCTCTCAAG